TACCACAGCTCGAGATATCCAAATAGCAACAGGCTCTAACGCTTAACGGCTCAGCTAATGTTAAAAAAAAAACAATCCAAATTTTATTGATTTCACCGACTGACAGACCTTCAGCTTTGCAAAAGTTAAGTATAGATCTTTGAGTGTGTTATTGTGAGCCCGGCATTTCCTAAGCTCATAAATCCTGGGGCAATACGTTCTTTCCCTGGTTTGTCTCCAAAACCAACTCCAGACATCAAAACCATACGCGCATCAATTATTATTATACTAACGTTATTACGTAGTTTTCTTCAACGACTGACAGACCTTCAGCTTTGCCAAAAGTTGAGTATGTGAATTTTTTTAGTGTGTTTCTGTAAACCTGGCGTTTCCTAGGCTCATAAATCCTGGGGCGATACGTTCTTTCCCTGGTTTTGTCTTCGAAACGGGTGCATACCAGGCGTATCGTAATAGTTGCTTTCATGTGCCGATCTTATGTTATCCGAAGAATATTTCGGGTTTAGAAATTTGAGCAGTAGATGAAAAGTGGAGGAATGCGGCATTTGTCTTCAATAAAAGCGGAGAGCTAATGATAATAGGTATCAGAGGATTGCATGGCAAAGTGGTGAGGGAATAGAGAGGAGTTGGATGTCGTCAAAACAACCGCCTAAGCAGTCCATCAACTCGCTAGGCTAGTTATGGAGACTAGTTATTATATCAAATTTCGTACGCTTACTAAACATTATTCAGTAATTTGTATTTTTACCAAGATATTCAGCTTTACGTTTTAGGATATCACGTACAGTTCGATTCAGCAATTTCAAATTGAGCTGCTAGCATTTGATTGTTATTCTCTGTGCGCACAATAAGGTTTTTCGCTTTCGTTGGAGAAATAAAATAGAATTGCAAGTGTTGCTGATGAGATATTTAATCTTTGAATTAAAAGGTAACGTTTAATACATATATTATTAACGAATTCGGACCAGAAAATTTCTTCGGAATAACGAGGGATTCGGATTAACGAGGTCGACTATGTAATCAGAAAAGAACGAATGGGATAACGAAACTGTGTTGGCATGCGAAATATTTTGCGAGCCTCCTTTTCTGCAACATCAATTTTACTTTATTGCAATTTAAATTACAGATATTGTTGATAACTATAATACGCTATTTCTATTACTATACACAACCAAATGTTAACATACAATTATTATTGAATCCTTGTCCTCATTTTCGACCCGCTTTATGATTTTTCTTTTTTGTCTTCTTTTTTTGCGTTTCAGCCGACCCTCGTCGGGGAGGTTTCTTCTTCTTCTTTTTGCGTTTAGCCTCGTGGAACACCCACCCAGATTCGACAACACTCAATACGATGACCGTATTGGTGGCATGGACTTCCTTCATTTTCGAATACGCTCTTTTGACCATCTTAGCCGTATGTCCGTCCGGGCACCAGATATGCAATATTTGCTTCCATACCCGGTCGCCGATAATATTTTTAGTCGATGAGCTAATCCCTGTGAGTTTCTTCTTCAACAGAGCGCGAGCATCTTGGGATGTGTACCTCTTTTTATAAGCGTAGGCACGTGTCACCGATATACCAATTGTTACAGAGATTTTGTGGCGTAATTTGACCAAGTAATCTGTCATGGGTTGATTGGAAAAGCGATAACGTACTTCCATTTCCGTTTTAGATAGTTCCACTCCGAGTATTCGCTCCATGATCTCGCACGAAAATACTTCAGATAGCATACTAGTTCCTCCTGCATTTGGTAATGTTAACATTTTTGCTGCTCCTTCGCCTAATTTAATGTCTTTGAATGTTCTTTCGTGAGCATTAACGTTCAGTTTGATCAAGCTTCCATACGATTTTTCAGTTAATCCCAATAACAAATTCAATAGATCCTGGGATGTTGTGTGGACAGTGATGTCGTTAAATGGCACAAACAAGTGGGAATTGTTGTCCATTAGATTTTCCGAATTCAGTAATTTCAAATTGCGGCATTCGACCATGGAACGTCGCACTGGATCGGCAATCGGACAAGGGCCCGCAACCCGACTGCTTGTCATCGCCATCATGAAGGGAATACTGATCCGAGGTGCGCCAACTGGAGAAAAAACGATGTATGGAGTACTTGCTGGTTGGTGGTAAACCAAGAGCGGTGGTCATGGTAGAAGTACGGGTACGGGTGTTGTTGACGGTAGAAGTTGAGGACATGGTTATTTTTTTTTTTTCGTGTGTAATTGAAGAGAAATGGATATTGAATTTGGATTTGTTTTGATTGAATGAATTAAGCTAGGCTATTGCGGTCGATAGAAAGTGTTAAGCTTATAACAGCGAAAACTTGAATATCGAGTCTTCGAATTTGTCCCCTCTTATATTGGTGATATCTCCTGCGCCATCGCCGCAGACATCTTATTTCCGCAGTATTGAGTATCATGATGAGTCATAATGCGCAGTACCATTGAGCGAAGAGAATGATACAACGGTGATTACACAGCAGCAAATTGTTACTCAGGCTTAATTAAAGTTTAACAGCGGGGAGAATTGCTTTTGGTTAAAACGGCGAAGTAAAAGCTGGAAAGAAGATGATATCGGATGCACGATTTTTAATTGAAAACAAATAATTGTATCAGTGTGTTCTTTATTGATTCATATAAATAATTTAACAAATCAATTTCATTTACATGGTGTTCAAAAACTATTGTATAAATTGCCAAGTATAAATAAAATTTTATAGTACAGTCCCGATAACAATAGGACATGGTAAACATCCCGATAAGGCATGACATAGATAAAGTAAATAATGATTATTAAATTCTAATAAGTATTAGTCTCCTTTAGTTCGAATTATAACCATCTTAATGACATATTTATGTCTTGAATTGCTTTTACCTTCGATTGACGACAAAATCGTATTTGCGTCATTATCAGCCGTAATTTGACTGATGACTACGAATTTGCAATCGCATTATTATCATTGACATTACAAAGTAACCGCTAATTCAATTGGGCTAACTTTGCTTTTTTGAATACTATTCTATAACATCCGGGAGACTGCGGAAACGATTATCTCGATAAGTCATTGTCCCTAAGAATTACGTGAATAAACTTTTTAACTAAACCTTTATTAATAATAAACTAACACAAAAAAAGTAGCGAATTAAAATGAACCAAGTTTACCAGTGTTGCGATTTGGGATAGAAGATAATTTTATGCCTCATGCTTTCAATTACCTCTCGGAGTAACGGTTTGTTAGCTTTGAAATCTTCTTGCTGCAAGAATATAACGCACATAACAATCGTCATTCGTTATAGAATAGTTTATTATTTGTTCCATCCATACGCTTCAAAGTCACCACTCTCATCTTCAATCGCATCGTCTGCAAAATAATAGTTGTCATTAAAAGAGACCAATCTGTCATGGTGTATTCAGGGAATACTACAGTGTTGAGTGCGTTTTGCAGGTTTTAAAAGAGTCCCTTAATTGTGTAGGTAAATTCCGCACTAAATCTGAATCGTCGCTGATCACTTAGCTAGCTAGAGGATCTTTCCGGCTTAACGCAGAAATAGATACATTATTTATACTGGAAAATAGATACTGGTAAAACTGTGATAGGGTGATTTTGAGATGTAGGATTAGTATTACCAACTTTTAATATTAACTGATTAACCTCATCGATAAGCTGTATTAGTATAGCATTAGTATTAATATGTTAATTATCTAAATTAATCTGTTTTAAATTCTGTAAAACTCCTTTGCGTGTTTAAGGTATCTAGCCTGTAATGGTTCACTAAGGTCACTAATTTCGGTTTTGGATTTGAGTGTTTTTTTTTGAGTACTTGTTCACGCATAATACCAAGCGATAACCTTTACTGATATCTCGTAATGTGTGCACATTGGTCATGTTAAATAATAAATACTTTATTTAAAAAATATATCTTTTGAGAAATCTATAGGTATCGATGCTTATCGATCATAGTAATAGTGATACATATCAATGGATACTAGTACCATACTAGTACCATATCAATACATATTAATATCAATAAATATTGACATTATAGCATTAATAAATATCGATATTTTCCATTTT